CTAAAAAAGTCCCAAATAAAACAAAACTTTTAACGTTTTACGCTCGTCGTCGACTTCTCCCAAGTGTCCTTTGCGCGCCTAGTGCATAGGTAACCCAAAACTACTTTATGTCAATCAATCGGAAATAAAAAACAAACAAACGTCATAAAGTTCCAAAACATCTCCTATAGTCAGCCAAATTTATTAGTAAAAGTTCGTGTTCAATTTCCGCATTCCATTGTTTTCATGCGACCAATCAAATCACTTCTCGTTTTGGTTTTCGCCAGGGCCTCCGGCAACGCAGTGTCAGCCGTGAGGCCTTGGGACCGAGGATGTTAAAAAATGTGAAATTTCAAATCCACTTCTAACACAAATGATTTACATCATTTGAACGCTTGCAAGAAACTACGTATAAGACATTTTAATGTCTAACAAGACGCTCTATTGAGCGTTAGTCGGTGGGACTATTGCATATTACGCTGCATGTGATTGAGATTAAGACTGCTATTTGTTTGTTGAGTTTATGTGTTCATATAATGAAATTGTTTTTGTCAAAAATGGGATTCAAGGAAAAATTAAAACAAAGTTCATCAAACAAGTCCCCCGACTGTATATACAGACGATAAACAAATTTGTCTAAGTTTGGTTATATCCAATTCACAACTTTGCATAAGTCACATGCCTAAGGGACGGGTCTGTTGTGTTCTAGTAGCGGAAGTGGGTATAGACGGAAGTGAACTGGTAGCGGGATTCGGGGAAGAGGACTTACGGGGAAGGACAGGCACAGAGACACGAGGCATAGATGAAGCGATGTATGTATTTCATAATAGTTTCCTATAAGTATTAACGTTCACATTACATATCTATATTGTTTCTTACAATATAACATTGGCGACGAGGATAACCTCAACATTCGATTACTATGGCAGGATTAGATTTCTCGGGAATTCAACAGTTTGATCCTCATTCAGAGCCAAGTTCGCTGGCTTCGCAGTGGAAAGAATGACTGCAACGATTCAAACGATGTATAGTCGCTTTTGACATCAAAGACAAAGCAAGGAAACGAGCTCTATTGTTATACCTGGCCGGTTCAAAGGTGGAAACAATATTTGCCACGCTCTCTGATACGGGAGAAGAGAACGACTTCGATAAAGCCATAGAGAAATTGACAGAGTATTTCGCGCCGAAGAAAAACATTCTATACGAGCGACATATTTTTCGCCAAGTCAGCCAGCGATCTGACAAAACAATTGACCAATTCTGTACACGACTGAGACATCGTGCCTCAACATGCGAATTCGATAATGTAGAGGACGAGATTAAAACGCAAATCGTGGAAAACTGCAGGTCTAGTCGACTCAGAAGGAAAGCATTTCGGGATGACCCCCAGATTTGATTAAATATGCGAGAGCACTGGAAATTTCTGATCACCATGCTGAAGAAATGGAAATTAGCAACACCGTCAGGAGGCTGTGTATCAAAACACCAGACGAGACTTTCCACCAACGGATATAAAAGGTAAACAAGCACAAACATGTTATAATTGTGGAGGGACGTACCCCCACCAAGGCAGGCCCTGCCCCGCTGCAGGCAAGACCTGTCATAATTGCTCAAAAACTGGACATTTCTATCGAGTTTGTAAGTCTGAACAAAAACCAATCTCTCGAAAACCTCGAATGCCTCAGGACCAATATAAATCGAAGGCAAACAAGTTGAATGCTTTGAACCAAAATCGGCAACAGCAACCACTCTCTGCTGAGCCAACAGTACAAGGTGAACCGGAAGTAAGCGACAGTGATAGCAATGAGGATATATTTGCTGTTTCGAGAGCCAAGAAAGTGAAGCAACCACCCATGACAAAACTCAAAATTAATGGGGTGAAAGTAGAGTTTTTGATTGACACCGGAGCTTCATGTTAATTCTGTGTCGAAAGTATCGGAAGTCAAGTCGGACTCTGGAACTGGTACGAGTAGCTGTGATTTGGATGCGAGTAAAAGAAAAGAAAACCTATTGAAAGGTAGGCACCCTAATGTATTTACAGGAATTGGTAAACTAAAGGGGCATGAACAAAAGATTCACATAAATACCGATGTACCCCCTGTTGCCCAAACGAACAGGCGTGTTCCATTTCATTTACGCAAACAGTTAGACACCTGGCTTGACGATTACTTACAAAAAGATATAATTGAGCCTGTATCTGATGAGAGCACTGACTGGATGAGTGGACTAGTTCTTGCACCAAAACCCGGAAACCCCAATGAAGTAAGAGTATGCGGCGACTACCGCCAAGCAAACACAGCTATAAAAAGAGAACTAGGGATCCAAGGATAGTGTGAAGTTTCAAATTGAAAAAGACACTGCAAGAACTATATAGGTTCGCCGACAACCTAGAAAAGCTGATGGCTTACACTACGAAATAAACAATTACCACAGGCATTTCATCTCATGCGCTCGGCGCACGACGTTTGAAACAAGCCTGACACATCAGAAACGAACACCGCGGAAAAACGTCTGCGCATGCGTCAACCTTACCTGTAATAGTATTGCGAACTTGATGAGAAGCTGTTCCGAACATTTCCGAAGGCTCAAAAGGCGGTAAAAAACTCTGACTTCATTGTGCGTCTTTACAGCCAGATTTCAAGCGCAAAAATAAACATGTCATTCTAAAAACTAGAAATAAATACAGCCAGAAGGTTCAAGAAATTGTATTGTACAAGAACATGAACTAAAGGTGATTGTTGACAAATTTATCGTCTGAAACATTCTGTTTATCAACTAAGCAATGACAATTTCCGAATTTTCGTTTGAGATACATTTCTTTAAAAAAAACTGTGTCGCCAAATATAAAAAATTTGCGTGTTCACAATAATTAAACTTTAGGATTTATTCTATAATTTGAGTGGGTTAAGAAGCTTAACTTTTCGAGAGTTTTCTTAACTTTTTAGTTTGAAGTCGTGTCCGTTAAAATCAACATTTTTTTACATGAATTATATTTCATTCCATACTTTAAATGCCAGGACGCTTTCAATTAATGTCTAGTCTACCCATTTGCTATATTTTCTCGTTTGTTTTACTAATTTTTGACCAATTAATAAGCATGTTTTTGTTTTAGAAATTGGTATTCAAATTCCCCGCCATATTTTCATAATTTGGTGCATGCGCAGACGTTTTTCCGCGGTGTTTCAGAAACGTGCCTTGTGAAACTGACACAACTTATCTATTTATTGTGATGCTACACGCATGCTAAATTTCAATTGTTTCACCAACAACCAAATTTTGCATATTCTAAATTTTCATTTGCATTTGTATTTGCAGCTGTCGCTAAAAGCATCCCCACGAGGCTACTGCTATGCTAAACTTATCTAAAACTATAATTGAAATAGCTGTATACAATATGTTATGAATAATAAGCACTACGTCGTTATATCATTGAAAGGAAGCACTTTATCTTCATCCGTTCCGTATTTTATCCGCATATCCGTTCCGTGGATCCGCTCCATCCGCTACCGCATTTTAACCTAATTGTGACATGTTTCACAATAACAAGTCTCATTGACCTTTGACTTTCCGAAGGTCACGTTGTGTCTATTTTCAGCTTTTCGCATGTGTTGAATAATGTCACTTTAGATTTCAATAGTTTCACAGTTATAGCTGCAGTGTTTAAAGCAGTTTTGACAAGCTTTGATACAGTTCTGTGTACAGAATACTACAGATTGATTCTCGTAAGATCTGGTAGAGTTATCGTTGCACTGAACACGAGTTTGCACCGTTGACAACGGCGTTGTGCTAGACAGTAAACAAGGTCCGTGACAGTAAATGTTGGCTACATGTACCTCCTTGCTTTTTTCTTCCATTGCATAAATCTTGTTGGCGAGCCAAGCGATTGGCGATAACACGTTGGCGATAACACATTGGCTATCTCCTATTTAAATAAGGAGCTATGACTCAACTGATTTCTTTCGTCTCGCAATATTTTCTTCGTAAACGCCTGTACAAACACCCGCTTCTGTTTAATAGTTGTTTACGCTTTATTGATCTGATGCAGATCTGATGCAATTTTTCGCTCTTTGTACTGAGTTCTGTGATGTAGCACCTTATACAGTCAATGACAATGTATAATGAATACACGGTCTAAATAATATCGATGGGCACTTAATTGAATGCCGGTAATCATAACATCAATTTATATATTATATTATTGCGTAGAATCTCAAAGATTTTCTCAATATTCATGTCTGAAATGTTTATATACTTGAAAACAACACTGTCTCGCTTCTTCGTACGTACTGTACCTCCGTATAATGAGTATACCGTGAAAATAATATCAGCACTCAATTGAATGCCTAGAATCTCAAAGATTTTCGACTCAATATTTAATACGTCTGAAATGTTTATACACTTGAGTGTTGACTGCACTGTCTAGGCGGTCTAGCTCCTTCCTAGCTCTGTATAATGAATATACCGTCTAAATATTATCGACACTTAATTGAACGCCCGTAATGCATAAGATCAATTTATATATTGCGTAGATTTTCAAAAATTTACTCAATATTCACGTCTGAAATGTTTATACATCTGAAAACAACACTGTCACTCCTTCCTAGCATATCGTCACGCCATCGTGATCTACGGCTTGATAGCGCATGCGCATTTGCGCTACTAAAAAAAATCGGGTGTTCCGGGGTAAAGATCCTTTACACAACATGAGAAGCGAATGTTCTAAAATTTACAAAAAATTACAATAACAAAAGCGATTCCTCGAAATTTTTGTGAACTTGGCAAAAGGATAACAGAATATGTAAATAAGTTAACTGAAATTGCTTAAATAACCTTCAAAGTACTGACAAAGCACAATAAATCACTACGAACATAAATCGTATACACCCCCCGGAAAGTTTACTGTATGACTGACTGACTGACTGACTGATAAGTTTGAATTTCCTCCCAGTCATCACAATACTGTGAAGTTTCGAAGAAACTTCACACTAAAAACACCCAATTCCTACAGTTGACGAACTGATGGAAAGTATGAATGGGGCAATTAAATACAGTAAGATTGATTTGAAGGCTGGGTATCACCAAATTCCCCTTGAGAAGAGTTCCAGGTCCATTACTACATTTATTACGCATCGTGGATTGTTTCGCTATAAACGATTACCTTTCGGTATCAACTCGGCCAGCGAGGTATTTCAGCATGCTATCGAGAATGCCATTCGAGGGATAGACGGAGTTCGTAACATCGCGGATGATATAATTGTTTGGGGGTCAACACAACAGGAACATAATTTACGGTTAGAGCAGTTATTTGCTCGCTTAGACGAGTCCGGCTTAACCGTAAATAATGACAAATGTCTATTTGATCAGAGAGAACTTTGGTTCTATGGCTTTCTCCTTACTGATTCAGGCATAAAAGTTGATCCAAGGAAAGTTGATGCAATTAAGCATGCTAAGGAACCAAAGGACACAAAAGAACTCCGTAGTTTCCTAGGGCTAGCAAACTATTGTTCCAGATTCATCAAGAACTTTTCAACTCTTACATCCCCCTTGCGAGAACTTACTGTAGCCAAAACACCCTATGCATGGACACCTAGACACACAGCAGCATTTGCTGCTATTAAAGAAGCTATACAGAAAGACTGTATCATGCATTTTTATGACCCAAATCAGAAAACATGTCTAACAGTCGATGCAAGCCCCACAGGTCTTGGAGCAATATTGTCTAACATTGACAGAGCAGGTAATTTGCATAATGTAGCATATGCCAGTAGGTCACTCACTCTAACTGAACAACGGTATTCACAAACCGAACGAGAGGCCTTAGCCGTTGTCTGGGGTTGCGAACGGTTTCACATGTACCTCATTGGTGCAGAATTCACAATTTGCACCGATCACAAAGCCCTTGAGGTAATTTATTCACCCAAATCCAAACCACCTGCTCGGATTCAACGGTGGGCTCTTCGCTTACAACAATACAAATTTAATATAATATATCGCAAAGGCGAAGGCAACCCTGCTGATCTACTTTCTAGACAACCACTACCTGTAGTATACACTGAACATTGTGACATTGCTGAACAATATAACAATTTTATAGAGAAGAACACCATCCCGAAGGCCATGAGTATCGAGTCCATTATTGCAGCAACTGCAGTTGATCCAGAAATGCAATCAGCGATTGAAAGTATCCAATCGGGTGTCTGGGCAAAGCATCATCCCTTTTATGCAGTGAGAGAAGAACTCGCTGTCACACCAAACAGTCTCTTGCTCCGTGCAAATAAGTTGATCATTCCAACAAGGCTTAGAAATGAAACCATGACACATGCCCACAAAGGTCATCAGGGCATTGTCAAAACAAAACGAGCCCTGAGGACGAAAGTGTGGTGGCCGCGAATTGACAAAGATGCGGAAGAATTTATTAAGCATTGTCACGCATGCCAGTCTCTCGGGCATGGTGATCCGCCACCGCCTCTTCAACAACACAAATTGCCCTCCAAACCATGGGATAGACTTCACATGGATTTTTGCGGTCCATTTCCCACGGGGGAAACACTTTTTGTTGTCATTGATTCATATTCAAAGTTCCCAGAAGTGGAAATAATGAAATCCACTACTGCCAGCGCCGTCACGAATCGCCTGGACAGAATTTTCGCAGTTCATGGCATTCCCACTGAAATCTACTCGGACAATGGTCCACCGTTTGCTAGTGATGCAGTGAAGAAATTCATGCGAAATCGCGGAATAACTCACCGGCTTGTAACACCTTATTGGCCACAGGCCAACGGGGAAGCCGAGTCGTTCATGAAGCCCCTCGGTAAGGCTGTAAAAGCAGCGAAAATGGAAGGAAAGGATTGGAAAGAAGAGCTACATGGTTTTCTGTTAGCTTACAGAACTACACCACACTGTACCACCGGGGTAGCACCAAGTCAACTGTTGTTCAATCGCGAAGTTCGTACGAACATGCCAACTTTTGTGAAAGAGGGGGATATTGATTACAAGATTTTACACGAACAGGCTAAGATAAATACGTCAGAGAAGCAGTCGAAAGCGCAGCAGTATACAGATAAAAGACGACGAGCTCGGAAAGCAAACATCGAAGTAGGAATGAAAGTTTTGGTGAAACAAGAACGAAAAAACAAATTTAGTACTGTTTTTGATCCAACACCTTTGACTGTAACGAAAGTTAATGGCACAAAGATAACCGCAGCGAGACACGATCTCACTACCACCTGAAACGTATCGCATTTCAAAAGATTTTACTCGAAAGACGAAAGTGCTGATGAACAGGAATGCGACGACAGCGCTAGCGATGTAACGGACGATGAAGATAATAACGAACAGCCACAAGATATTCCACGAAGGTATCCGGCAAGAGTACAAAGAAGACCTCGGTTCTTGCGCGAAGAAACTTAACTGTTAAAATATTGGTACTATTGTTTAGGTTGACATTTAAACCAGAACTATTGAATTTTGGTCATAATTTAGGTGCATGATTGTTTGCATAAGTATATTTCATATTCTAAAGTAAAAGGGAGATGTTGTGTTCTAGTAGCGGAAGTGCGTATAGACGGAAGTGAACTGGTAGCGGGATTCGGGGAAGAGGACTTACGGGGAAGGACAGAGATAGAGACACGAGGCATAGATGAAGCGATGTATATATTTCATAATAGTTTCCCATAAGTATTAACGTACACATTACATATCTATATTGTTTCTTACAATATAACACTTAGCACCGGATCTGGCAGAGCGACCCCCTCCCCAGATCGACCCCCTTCCCTCGCGTTAGTGGTACCAAGACGATATGGTCTTAACTCGTAAATAATTTAACACACAAGTAGCTGTCGAAATATTATAACTGCATGAAGCCGCCTTTAAATGATTTCTTAAACTATATAACATGTTTCAAATTTGCAAGCATTCAGTTATGTTATCCATGCAATTGCCTGAATGGTACTTTAATTTGTGTCTCTATTTGCAATCAACAAGATAATAAAGTGGGTGAAGTAAACAAGAAAGTGACGGTGAGCACATCACCAGGACTGCTTATCGCCAAAGGAATGGCTACAGGTCAGCCTAGACCTAGGCAGTCGATTTGTATTATTTTTTTAATATTCAGCGCTTTTTTTAATGAGAAGACTGGACCTAGGCAATTTGGGGGCGGGGCGAAGGAATCGCAAATGGCCATGGCGATACTTACCAAATGCTAGCCCAAAATTGACCAAATCTGCCAAAGCCACCCGTGTATAGGCCTACGTCTAGGCTGACTGCAGGTAAGGTTAAGAGAATAGGCATTTTAAATGTAGTATTTAGTGTGGTTGCATGCAGCCTACTACATGCTTTTAACGTCCAGTACCCACGGGGTTACAACTGGGCACAGCAAGAATGTAGGCGATTTTGTTTTTTGGAATATATATATATATATATATATTGAAATTTGTTCCCTAGCTATATTGCTCGGAAAATATTTCTGAATCTGCCAGCAGTTCGAGGAAGCTCGCCAGATTCAAAATCACTTGAATTCTCAAGATTCATCCATTCGCTATGAGATCGAACTACCTGTTGAAGATGGCTTTCGATCTACCTCCCCTAAACACCAAAGTTAAAGCACGGTTAATAGAATAGATGGTCAGGCTAGCTGGACCACGTGACAAATATGTTATTGTTCATTTTTATTTTTGGTCACGTGACGAGGAAAGGGGGTGCTTTGTGATGAGCGATTAGGAAAACATATGAGTGAGAACATAATATGCCAACAAAAGATCATATTTCAAAGCGCTTGAGGGCTTCTAAGATCAAAATGGAAATTGAAACAGAAAGCGAAAAAACATACGAACCTCGTATTTTGAACGTTGGAGATGAAAATATCGAAGGAAGCGAGCGTTGTGAACAGTTTATGATCGAGGGGACAAAGGGTTTGTTTATACACCGCGTTCGGATAGTTGTATTTTTGCCGTTGTTTTAGTATGTCAGGATACGGTTAAACTTTTGAAGTAATATTGGACAGTATGGTTGGCTCTAATTGTGCTTTGTATGGTTGTCCGACCGGCAGAACGCGTGAATTTGCAATGTATGATATCCCTGTTGTTGGCACAGCCGATGTAGTCTGCGTAAGCTAAGAGACTACAGCCGATGGTGAACAAGAAGAGAAATGCTCGCGGAGAATGGTTTCGAATTGTTTTAAAAGACTAGAGAAAAGACGGTAGATCTGTAGAAACAAATAAGATTTCTTTTTGTGAGCGTCATTTGAAGCCATTGTAAGTATTTGCATTTTATGCATGCGCTTGTGTGATCAGATATAAACAAAGAGGGCATTGTATTTGCATATTTACCTATCCCATGTCTATTAAATATCTATCTTTCACTATCTCGCACTGACTAAAAGGAAAAACCCTCTCGTCATCAATTTCTTGTATAGCTTCGGTGAATTCAGCGTCTATTTCGTCTAACTGTATTTCCGTTAGAGCAACAGACACATCAAAGTTGTATAAATCCTCTGCGGTTGCATCGTCTTGCGTAAATGTCTTCGCCCTTCGTCCTCTTATGCCTCGATCATAAACTGTTCACAACGCTCGCTTTCTTCGATATTTTCATCTCCAACGTTCAAAATAGGTTCGTATGTTTGTTCGCTTTCTGTTTCAATTTCCATCTTGATCTCAGAATCCCTATAGCGTTTTGAAATATAATCTTTTGTTTGCATATTATGTTCTCGCCCATATATTTTCCTAATCACTCATCACAAAGCACCCCCTTTCCTCGTCACGTGACACAAATAAAAGTGGTTCTCGACATAATTTGCCGCTCCTTTTGAAGTTTGCCGGCTAGCCTAACCATCTAGTTCTATTAACCGTGGTTAAAGTGAACGATTCTGGAATCGTAGAAATTGGCTGATACACGAAACCAGCAAACAAGGGTCTGATGTTAAATGCAAAATCCAACTATCATGATCTCGTTTAATGCGCTGTCATTAACAACACCATCAACACTTACACTTCTATATGTTCCAACAACGCCTTTCTTCAAGAAGCTGAACAATTCTTCAAGACAAGAGCCCAAAGGAGCGGTTGCAACCAGCAGTACGTCAACCGAGTCAGATCCAAACCTAAGAAAACCACTCAAAATCATAGTGAACCCCTACTCACGCTTTCCATTCCCTACATCTCAAGTGCATTCACCAACTACGTACATAAAGAAAGCGGTAAAGCGAAGCAACTTGAACATTTGCCCAATTCAGCGTCCCCAAAGGTCACTGAAGAATCCCCTCGCCTAATCAAGTCCTTAAGACAAATCATGCAAGCTAAAGATACAGAGAAATGAAACGTCTGTCGAAACTCGCCATTAACACCTTCAACCCATTGCTCGCAGAAAGATGTTGTCAACTCCATCAAATGTGACCTCTGCCGGGACGACGACGGTTTGTACATTGGTGAGTCAAGTCGCCCATTAGCTGTACAGTTTCAAGAACACTACCGATCTGCACCGAATCAGTCAGCAAAGTCATATAAGAACATGGCCTTTTCAAAACATATAAGGCGTGTCATGAGGGTCAAAATCCAAAACTTACTGCAAGAATACTGGAAAAAACAACTGGTTCGTTGGAGCAAAAAATCACAGAAACTGTCCTAATTCAAAAACTTAAACCGGACTTGAATGGATATATTTAACTCAAGTAGACATTTCATTCTAATTTGTTTTGCTAATTTAAATTTTCTCGGACACGTCATCTTTGCATGCTCGCGCAAGCAACTTGCGCAAATAAATTGCGAGTGAAACAGCTAAAAAAAGGCAATCTTTATGACCTGAAGGTGGAGTAACACTACGAAAAATTGTAAACAATAAAATTATTTTATTTTTAAGCATTTGTGGTGGTTGTTAATTCCAAGAAATAATACAAAATGAGGCTTAGAGACAGTTCGATACTATAATTATTAATTGTAAAATAATTCTGATGAGGGCTCGAAACGAGATAATTATTTTGATCGATATGAATAGCAATCTCCTTAAAACATCTTGTTATGAGTCTAAAATATTATTAGACACTTGCTTCGAACTACACTTGACACAACTTATTAAAGATCCAACGAGAATTACATCTCAAACAAGTTCATTACTTGACGTTATTATGATTTCGTCCTCCTCTAAAGTTAAAAGTAGTGGGGTTGTTGACATTGGTATTAGCGACCATTCTATGATATACTGTACACTTAAAATTAGAGCTGATAAGCCTCGACTTGAATACAAGGATGTGAGGAGTTTTCAGAACTACAACTACGAGAGTTTCAAGGCAGAACTGTCTCAACTTCCGTTTCATGAAACCTATCGTATTAATGATGTTAATGAGAAAATTGATTATTTCATTCAATTGTTCAGAATTAAAGGCAGATTTAACCAGTTTATTAATAAAGAATTAAAGTGCACGATGAAACAGAGAGACAAAAAGCTGAGAATTGTTCGCCTCTCACGTAACGAGGAAGATTCGGATGTCTATAGGCAACTTAGGAATTCTATAAAAACATCTTTAAGAGCAGCACAACCCCAGAAAATTTTTGAAATTCGAATCCCGGAAATGTCATTTCCTGAATTCTGAGCATCCAAATTTGCTCCAAAATTTATGCTAACTATACTAGTATTTGAAATAAATAAAGGAAAAAACGGACAAAAAGTAAAAAAAATTAACCATCATTTATCATTACTTTTTAGAGGGATAATCCCCAGAAAATTTTTGAAATTTGAAACCCGGAAATGCTATTTCCTGCATTCTGAGCATCCAAAAAATAAAAAAATTATTATCAATAATTTATCATTACTTAGTGGTAGAAAAAAGTAACAATTTAAATCGATTTTGTTTTACAAGGACAAAGGATGAAGCCTAAAACTTACTTTCCGTTTATGTATTTGTTATTCTTTGCTGGTTTGTTTCTATAATTTTAGGGAAAAGGGACTTTTCCTGGGGGGGCAAAATGTGATTTCGTGGGGGGCACAAGGGGGGACTGGGGGGGCATTTGCCCTTCCCCCCCCAGCTTGTATGTTAAAAAAGGCCCTGGTTACTTATAGGCCTACTTATATTGTTGGATATGTCGAAAGCCTTGATAGTGTTGATCACAACATGCTTGTTCAAAGCTTAGAATTCTAAACTTAGGCGTATCTTCCGCAGTGCATAAGTTGTTTAAAAGTTACTTGTCTGACAGATGGCAGTATGTTAGGATTGAAACTACCTCTTCGGCGCCTGTTGC